AAAAAAAAAAAAAAAAAAAAAAAAAAAAAAAAAAAAAAAAAAAAAAAAAAAAAAAAAAAAAAAAAAAAAACACTAAGGGCAGCATCAAGAGGGAGCTCATTATTAAAACCAGCCAGGGAGAGTCCCTTTCTGGGGTTGAGGACTGAAGTGAAACTGCCTTTCAGTCGATCAGGTTGATCATACAGGGTCCACATGTATGATGTGGGACACATTCCTTCCCCACACTTTCACTGTGCCCTCCTGTGCCCCAGGATATTTCAAGTTCTATAAGGTGTCAAGGTTGTGTAGGGGAGAAAAGGTATCTTTGCCTCACCCATTGCGAGGTTCATGCCTATAACAAAAGATATTAACTAGAGAAAAGCATCATAAATTTGTTTTTGTTTTTTGTTTTGGGATGAAGTCTCGCTCTGTCACCCAGACTAGAGTGCAGCGACACAATCTCGGTTCACTGCAACCTCTGCCTCCTGGGTTCAAGCGGTTCTCCTGCCTCAACCTCCTGAGTAGCTAGGACTACAGGTGTGTGCCACCATGCCCCACTAATTTTTGTATTTTTAGTAGAGATAGGGTTTCACCATGTTGGCCAGGCTGGTCTTGAGCTCCTGACCTCAGACGATTCACCCACCTCGGCCTGCCAAGGTGTTGGAATTATAGGCATGAGCTACCACACCTGGCCCATAAATTTATTTAACCAAAGTTTTAGTGACATGGGAGCCTTTGGAATGAAGGCCCAAAGGCCAAGGAAGGCCAGAAGTGGTGGCTCATGCCTATAATTCCAGCACTTTGGGAGGCCCAGGTAGGCGGAGCACTTGAGGTCAGGAGTTTGAGACCAGCCTGACCAAAATAGTGAAACCTCATCTCTACTAAAAATACAAAATTAGCTAGGTGTGGTGGTGGACATCTGTAATCCAAGCGACTCGGGAGGCTGAGGCAGGAGAATCCCTTGAACCCTGGAGGCGGAAGTGGCACAGAGCTGATATTGCGCCATGGCACTCCAGCCTGGGTGACAGAGCAAGACTCTGTCTAAAAACAAAAACAAAGACGAGGGAAATCTGTGTATTTTCATGCCATGGTTTGATGAACAGTCACATAGAAATGTGATTGGACAAAAGGGGGTGTGACCTTAAAGTAATAGATTAGGAGGGGCTCAGCTAGGCTTGTTGGTTCCAATTCTTTTGTGTCTCTGTATGATACTCCTCCTCTCTGGGTATGGGGTAGAACACCTGTCACAAGAAGATCTTCAAGGCAGAAGGGAGGAGGTCAGAGAGTGACCTTGCTAGTTTTTATGGTTTGTTTCGAGGAAGAGGAGTTCTAATTTCTCTGACCCACTTCAAGACAGAAAGGGGAGGCTGGGTGTGGTGGCTCACGCCTGTAATCCAAGCACTTTGGAGGCCAAAGCAGGCGGATCACCTGAGGTC